GCCGAGGACGCCAGGATTGGGGTGAGGTTTACTGATGCGTGCTGATTCTTCGTGCATTTTGTTTTTTTTTCTCGCCGCCGACCCGACTGAGTTCAAGGCGAGAGCCATCCTTTCGTCAACCAACGCCACCATAGACACCATTAACGCACACGTCCTTGACATCCTTCCAGGAGACCTTCTCACAGCATGCAGTTGTGACACCGTCGATCCTGACGCGACTGACGATGGTGTGGGTTTCGTTGCCGCAGCTGACCTCCACGCTATTGACGTTTCTGGTGTACCGCCTCATGCCTTGGATTTGAAACTGAATTGCATGGTGATGATCACACGAAACCTCCAAGCAGGGCTTGGTCAATGGTCAGAAGGCTATCGTTCGTGGATACTCAACACGAATTGTGTATGTAGAACTACTAGACGGTCTCTCAACGCTCGTTCTCATCCCACGTATTCGCTTCAAGACTAAAGTCGGCAGCAACGGTATTGCTTTCTCGCGATTGCAACTTCCACTACGAGTGTGCTACGCGCTAACCATCAACAAAAGTCAAGGACAGACACTCTCCAAGATAGGTCTTGACTTGAGAGCTGACGTTTTCACTCATGGTCAGTTATACGCCACACTTAGTCGTGCGCAGGAGTGATTATCTATCATGTGTCTCACATTATCATCACGATTGCGAGGATCGTTGAACCGCGCCGCGTTCGTCGCTAACATCACATTCCCGTCATTCGTAGATGCTGCAACTGACTCTACCAACAATTAATTCCCCGTCCTTGCCGCCTTCGTACATCGACTTCATCGGATACATGCACGCAACCGACACCAGCAACAACACCCGACGAGACATGGGGCCGCCTGGGCTACACGACACAGACGAAAACGCACACGCAAATGGCCAGGCTAATACCCGCCATCCCAACCAATGCGCCGACGGCGCGTGGATTGAGGCAAAAGGCCTATCGCGTTAGAGTAATGTGTCCAGTGTATGTCGGAGTTGCGTTTTGAGGTACACGCCTGGTGTGAGAATGTCCTTTGTTGCTTCAGATCCGTGTGAGTGCCACACTTCCTTCATGTTCGTAGGCATGTCTTTAGGTGGGTGCGATCGTTGTCTCCTATTGGTGTCGAGCTTGGTGTGTGGATGTCCTTTGTTGCGTCAGGAGCGTGAGAGTTCTATCCTGCATCGTCGTAGGCGTGTCCTTACGCGGGTGCGATCGTTGTCGACTATTGGTGTCGTTTTGTTGCGTCACAAGTGTGAGAGTTCTGTGTCGTGTCTTTGGGTGGGATCGAGCGTTGCCGCTTTGCCGCTTATATAAGTTCGATCTTGGTGTGTGTATGTCCTTTGTTACGTCAGTAGCGTGGGAGTTCGACCCTTCATGGTCGTTGGTGTGTCTTTAGGTGGTTGCGATCGTATGCGTGGTGTCGCCATGTAGGATTTTGGCGTATGTCTGAGCGTGTCGATTGCATTAATACAGTTTATGTCTACGTGCCAACATGTTGTCACACGACAGACATGCACGTCAAACGGGCATCCTCAACGACACATAACTTCCATTTAACCTTCCACGATCCCCACACGTACCGTCCCCGTGTACCTTGGGACTCGCTCCATTGGGCGTGGCGGCGTAAGCCGCCAAAAAACTTGTATGTATATATGCATGATGCATAGTCTATACTCTTCTTGATGATGATGATGAAACTTACTTGTTGTGTCATGAGCAGGCGTGACAAATCCCTGGCATTGTTTTCATGGAGTATCTTGGGGTGAGGATGGGGGATACATCGACGGACGTCTGTGCGCGACATGCACCACCAAGCGTGCGCGTTCGGGCGTAGGCGTGGTGGTTTCTCCTGAAAAATTATTTTTGACGGCACCATCATCATGACGATTATATACCAGTCTGCCCTGGCACGAATAATCGCCCCAAACCTTTTGCGATAGGCGAACAAACGAACTGAGTCTGTGGTGCTGGCGATGTTAGGCTACAACACGCCAGCCTTGAGCATCGCCTGGGGCTGGCACACGTTTAGAGCTGGCTCCCGCGGATCTTGGAGCCGCTTCATGATCGAGGAGTAGATCCGCCTCTCTCTATCTACCGTTTGAACTGACTTACTTGGAGGTAGGCAGAAACGACACGTACGTACGTACGTACGTATACAAGTATGTTCGCCGTCGTCATGCCCTGACATATTGCATTCACTATGTATACAAATAGATGTACTTCGAAGTACATGGTACCATCTCTGGAAAATGGACGGTATATACTCTCCTGTGTTGTCTAGCTCTAGCCCAGGTGCTGCAAGTACCACCGGGCAAAAAATATATATTATTTATTGTTGTGGGGATTTGCCACACAAACCCGTGCGAAGGTGTACCGATTCTGGTAAAAGTCAATCGACGGATACCCTGTGAATCGGGTCCTCCTTAACACTCTCCACCCACAGAATTTACCCTCAACTGGGAACAAAACCCGTGCGAAGGTGTACCGATTCTGGTAAAAGTCAATCGACGGATACCCTGCGAATCGGGTCCTCCTTAACACTCTCCGCCCACAGAATTTACCCTCAACTGGGAACCTCTTGTGGCCAGGACGGGTAATTCGATGGAAGTGTCACAAGGTTCTTTATAGGATCGGTTCCAAGAGGTGTTCTCAGGACTGACACACATGGTGTCCATGGGAAAATGTCCAAGTCAGGAGAAAAAACGTGCACCCAAGGAGATTCGAACCAGTATCCTGCTGACGCCATAAGCGAAGGCGTACCGATTCTTATACAGACCTTGGTTTTGCACATCTTGTATCGAGTCCATTCCTCGACCAGCTTGAACCGTCCTTACGACAGAGTGTGTTTCGGTTAGTGTCTGCTCTCCGTAGGGCTTCTTTCACCGAGGGTCCCCAGGGAACAGCGGTGGTGGTGCACAATGGGGGAATTCGGTATCAGAAGGGTGCAGCAGGGCGGCATATATTTTTCTTCACATTTTTTTTTTATCGGTCAGGCGTGCAGGGTCACACTACGTGCAGAGTAGTTAAACACAGAACAAGACACCACCCGGCAATAATTAGTTCAATTCATTCTGGTCTCAATCGCTGTCGGTGTCGATCGATCATCTGTGTATGTATGTATGTATGTATGTATGTATGTAGACTATGTGTATAATAAGGGCACATATATATGTGAATCTATCTCTTCAACAACAGGCGGCGGCATAACAAATCAATCGTTGGCGACAAAGGAAAGAAACAGCGTATTAGGCGTTGTCCTTTGTGGAAGAAAGGCAGATATATATATCTCGCACCCTGCAGGGATCGTCTAAGTACCTCTTCGGGCTTGTGTACCATTTTCTTGCTAATAGTGTGCGTGTTCTTTAGATCTTCTGATGAGCATTTTTGTGACCACGGACGGACCGAGTCTTCTTCGCTAGATTTTTGGGATTAGCAACTGACACGAGTTTAATGTGTGAAGACAACAACAACAAAACACCAACACCCTGACCCATGCCATCATCACCCTCTTCTTCTGCTGGAACATGTCAACCTCGACACGTCATGGTGTCTTGACCATTCGTGCAAAGGGCAATCACCATCACATAACACATGATGAGTGACTGGTTCCAGAGAAGAAACCCCCCGCCGCCCAACAGACAGCAAACCCAAACTGCCCGCTCCGGCGCTCCTCCCCGGCGGGGCTTTCCCCCCGCAATCAAAACTTGGAATATTTCCATAAAAAACAAATTACCCCCGATTCGCCGCCGCTTCGCCGCCAAAATGCATCATCGTCGGTCGTGATTGATCGACCAAAGGAGGTTGATCGCACCCAGCACGCAGAACCTGCACCTTTACACACACGCGCTACACCTTCGCATTGTTTAAGTGTTTACCCGAGTTTGTTTGAAAAAAGAAGGGCCTCGCATATTCAACTACTACTGCTTTATATATATGTACTGATACATCGTATGATATGCATATCTTGACTTTACACCGCTCGCTGTGGTCTGTTCGCTGACATTGGCTAGCTTTTACACACAATCGAAGGAAGGCCCCTCGGCTGCTCGTTTCGTAAAACCTTGCAGATGGCAACTGGAGATAGAACACGGAAAATAGAGAAGCTTGAGTCCTCCCACACACACGAGTCTCCCCCGCTGGTGCCCATCGCTTGGGGCTCGCTGGCTCATGGGGCCATGCGGAAACAAAGGCTGGGAAGGCGGTGGTCCTTCTGATGGCGCGGCTCGAGCTGCGAGTTCCGCCGAAGTGGCGCCTACGCCGCCGTCAGCAAGACCGGTGCTGGTGAGAAAGGTTGTCGAAACTCCCAAGATATGTGCGGAGTCTGCGTGTGTGTGTGTATTTGTAGTGTGTTTTTACAGTGGTCCTTGTCTGATGGCGCGTGCGAAATCGCACCGACTCGTCGCCACTGGTGAGGACAGCTCGGTGTTCGAAAGAGAGAGGATGGCGAGGCAAAAAACGGCCGTGGCTTGATTCCCCTGCATCCAACATCCCTGTGTGTCCCGGGTGTGTGCTGGTCACGCATGTTGCGCTTCTGACGCAACGCGCTCGCAGTACGAAAGTCCCCGGTCTTGGTAGCATATTCAGAGAAGACACCGGTATGAGAACCGGAGGTGTAGATACGTGATGGGATTCACCCACCTCTCCTTTCCAGCGTACAAGACACTGGGGGAGGATGGCCGCAGTAGGGAGAGGAGCGAGCGTGAAGTCGGTACACAGACAGCACGTAGTTTTCTCACCGGACGTGCTGGTGTGTGTGTTTCGTACTCAACTTTTCGTAGATTCCGGTATTTCGTAGAGGTGCAGGTACGTAAGCAAGACAGAGCGAGATTCGATATTGTACCGTTGTACAGCAGTTCGCAGCCGTGGTGGATCAGATCTCGCCCAACATGTTATGTGTGGCCGAGCTCGCTGCTCGTGGACCCATCGTAGACCGCACACCACTACAATCTACAATCTACACACACCTGCCGCGGAGCTCTCTCAAGACGCAGTGAAGTGAGACCGAGCACTGCTGTTTCTGTTCGCTCTGCGGCCCGAACGAGTCTTGTCTCTACTCCCTCTTGGGTGGTTTCTCTCACCAGAGCAACAAGCGAGCGTGACTGCTGCTGCTGTAGATCCACCTGGGTAACCGACCCTCCCTCCCTATCCCTCCCTCCCTCCCTCCCTCCCTCCCTCTGCCTCTCTATATTTCTCTTCCTCTACGTGGTTTCTCGACGCACGTGTTCGTCATGATGAATAACACGGTCGGTGCTGCTGCTTTTTGCCCATCATTTAATTTCCAGGAATGCACCCGGGCAGACTGCCGCTGGTACACATCCCACTACTGCGAAGAAAACTCTCTGCGCCTGTGTAACCACCTCCTCGGTAGGGCCGAATCTGACGGTGTACAGCTCTCCGTCGTCTTCGTGTCAAATGCGGCCCGCCAAGTGCCGGTGTGGTTCCAGCGTCTTGCCGACAGACGTGACGAGCCAGTTCTGTGGGATTACCACGGTAAGTAACAATATTTCTACGTAGCGGTGAAGAGCTCTCTGTTTATCGTATGAATCAACCCCCAAACAGCAAGTCACACAGCGGGCGAGTTCCGTCTTTGTCTATCCGGGGATCTTGTGTACTTGTATGTCGGCCTCTGATTTTCCATGGATTACTGTAGACAGCGTGCCCAAACTGCAGTGGGGACAGTCAGTGGCGCTGAAAAAACAACTCAGCGCCATGTGTACCGGTCTGTGCTTCAATAGAACATTCATAAAACGCGTAACACACATGATAACCAAAACTGGTGTTTTCTGAGGTGGCACGCAGCGCTGGCCGTTGAACTGAGACAAGTTGGAGACTGCACATCGGTTCGTCTCCGTCTTCGAAGTGGGTAACGTTGCTTGTCGCGACCCCTCTTCACCTTCTTTGTACAACGAATTACTCTCGGACTTTGCCATCCTGTCCCTCTCTGTCGTGGCTGGTGCCGTCTCCGCTGTTGCGTCGGCATGCATGCTGCTGTCGAGATCTATATGTACTGTAGTACGCACGTGTTTGTGTTCAAGAAGTATTGACGTGCAGGTAGATCTTGGATCCGCGGAGAAGCTATCATAGACTCGTATTTTTTGTCGTCTGATTTTCTGAGGTGGCACTCTGTGCGTTCACTGGAGAGACAGAGCTCATTTTTAGGTCTTCGCATTTGTACAGCGTATGGGTAGCGAATTGTTGGTGCCCTCAACAACTGCGGTACGCCCCCAGATATGTGTATGTACTGCTTTACCACTCAGCAGCAGCAGCAACAGCAGCAGCACGAGATTACTGTAGTTATTCACCGACTGCAGTACCAGGGGGTAATGGGCAGCCGCAGAGTACGACTCAACCAATACCGGCAATAGGCTATCTGCGATGCTGTGCGATGTTGGGCTCTGTTGAAAGTTTTGAGTTTTACACCACCCGCAGAGCGAGACAGGTTGGAGCCCCTGCTGTTTTTCAACAGGAATGATCTTAGTTCCCGGTGAAATCATGGGTCCCCTGCTGTGCTTCGTGCCATCCTGTCCCGGATGACGATGATTTCATCAAGGAAGATCTTTACGACTGGTGCATCCGCTCCCCGCTGGAGTGTAAATATATATATACTACCGTAATAGTCGGAGAGTTGGCACCGGGTGCGATCGTTTTTTTAAATGTTTTTTCCTCGGGTTTTTTATCGCACCCCGATGCCATCTCTCCGACCGGTGCCATCTCTCCGACCCCGGTGCGGAAATGCAATTAAATCACTTCTTTTGGTTTTTCCAAGGCACCCCGGTGCGATATCTCCGACCGGTGCCATCCCCGATGAAATACACACAGGTCTTGTATGCACCCACGCACCCCGGCGCCATTTCCCCGACCGGTACGATAGTATTGATACCAGTGTAGGCACCCACACACACGGTCTTCTTCACACGCTAGTTGATCATGCTGGCTATTGATCAGTACAATTAGAACCACACGTACGTGTAGGTGCCGTTGTTGGTGGTTGGAAGCAAACTGGTAACGGCAACGTAGGCTGGTACGTAACAGCTTTCCATTGTAGCGAGTGGCCTTGTGTTTGATGCGAGTATGGCTATGGCGCGACAACAACAAATGTCGTTTCCATCTGACGTGGTACCAGTACACACGGTATCAATTGTTTCCCGCTTTCGTTTCGGTCTTCTTCTACGGATACCAGTACGTACGCAGCAGTACAATAGTTTTAGTTTCGGGTTGTGTAAGGTGGGTAGGGTGCGGCTTGTACGTTGTTTGTTTGGTTCATGTACGGTTGGCAACTTCCATACCAATTAAAAAATGAAAACAACTGGCATCCCGCGTGAACCGCGACCATCCAATCGTACGCAAAGGAGTGGCGCTCCGCTGACACCGTCCCCACGTGTAAAATGTACGCACATATACCTCACTCCGGCAGCTGAAAAGGAGCTCAATCTTGGATTTGGGGGTCGGAGAGATCACACCCGGTGCGATCTCACCGACCCCGGTGCGTAAATCGAATTAAATGTTATTTCTCGGGTTTTTTATGGCACCCCGGTGCCGTCTCTCCGACCGGTGCCATCTCTCCGGCCGGTGCCAACTCTCCGACTACGGTAGTACAATATTAGAACATTTACGGATGGGGGAGGAACACACACACAGCACACCTTTACACACACGCCGTGGTACACTCGCCCCGCTACAATACCGCCAAGGAAACGCACCTATTAATATCAGCTCTGCCGCCAATGGTGGCGGACACGCAAACACTACATAGAGCTCATCGGGCAGTTCGGTGTGGAAAGGGGCAGGAGCACAGCGCAAACAGAGCCCTAGCTGTTCTCCCGTCATGTCCTATACTATCATCCAGAGTCTCTCATGTGTCATGTTTCGCTCGCCGGAGGCGGCGGCCTTTATTTGCTTCCCGCATCCCCCGCCCTAATTTTGTCCGGCGAAATACACCACACCTATCGCTCTGAGTCGAATGTGCCGGTTGCGTTAACAGCACCAACGCCTCGGCTTCGCTTTCTGCTGCTGCTGCAGTAAGGCTCCAATCTACAATATCCTATTTCACGCACCATCCTGAGATACTTTCATAGAGCCTTTTTTTTGCTCCTGGGAAGAACGGGACAAAAAATGCCACCGCTTCCGTTCCGTGGCTCATTGTCATCCATCCCTGTGATGTTTTCTGACTCTGGGATTGCATTGGCCACTGACATGTAGAGAAAGTTTTGTCTCTGGCTTCATACAGTAGTGGTATGGTATTAATAGTTGCTCTGCAACGCCCAACAACACCCTTGGATTTCGCCCTCCACTTTCCATTTTGTGTCTTGGTTGCTGGTGTCTCTCCCCCAGACAGCGTATATTCAAGTAGTCGGCCGCTGACGTGGCGAGTGAAAGTTTTATTTTGTAACTGGCCTCGTTGTCTCCGGAGGTTGCTTGCTTTTGTCGCCCTCCAACCCCCCGTCTGTGTTGTTTTTGCTCCCTCTCTCCCCCCCGTGCCCGCTGTCCATCGATTTGTGCACGACATGTACCACCGTTGAAAAGTCATTCTCTTGGCGCAGCATCCACACGGCAACTGGGTGTACGACCTCGACTCGACGCTGGACTTTCCAAGCCCAGCATCGCTGTACATGACGCAGGCGTTCCGGAAACAAATGAACATCGACCAGCAATATAGGCAGTGAGTTATTGTTGCTGATGTTGTTGATTATGCCGCTGCCGTCTCCTCCATGCAAGCGTTCTGCTAGCACCCTCTCTTTATTGACGAGTTGGACGTTGCGCTGTGCCACGTGAAGACATCGTTGCCCGCCCAAGATAAATGAGCAAGAGGCTCTGAAACGGTGCGACATGACCGTTTACAGCGGTCGACATGTCTCCCTTGACTATAAGAGAGGCATTATCCACACGTACCATCGGTAAATATGATGAGAAGATCAAACGCCGTCGACGTCCAACGTAGGTATCGATTGGATGACAACTCTAGAGTTTTTGGTTTTTTGACAATGCCAAGAAACA